AAAGTGTCAACTAGTCTATTGTAAAGGGTGTTTCAATAAGGACGCAATATTTCAAGGTTCTATTAAACATGATATTTCGTAGCAAACAACTAAAATATTTATTGGATTATGATACTTTGGAATTATGTATGGAACAACCCAGCCAGCACGGTGTCGTGGAATCGATGTTGATATTTGGTGATTTTGGTCGAAGTTGAAATTTAGGAAAAATTCTACATTTATTCGACGTCAGTTATGGATAAAATTTCACTTAAATTTGTCCGATATAACCACACCACGTCGATAAAACGTGAATATTACGTGTTTACACCTCTATACAAATTTCCACTGCCGCGAATAAAATCCGGTTATGTTGCAGTCACTTAACCGATTAATTAAGGTAAACGTACTAGTTTGTTATAATTTTCTCCTATATTCTAATATTATAATCGATAAAACGTGGAAATCCGGTGTAGCACGTCACTGGTCGACGAGGGACGTCTTATCCACGTGAAACAGTGACCGCGCAAATACATCGGTACCTGTGTTGGTTATTATATACGTGGAAAAGACGTGGATACGACGTGGCATTTTATCATAAATTTAAATTGTAATCTTCCAAACAGAGAATGTCCGAATGATGATGATAAGTGTTTGGGTGATGTAATTTATTTGTAGATACATCTTGATCCCAAAAATATAAAAGCGCATATCGAACCTAAAATGCTTTGCGAGCTTTGTTATAAATAATAATGTCGTGTAAACATATGTATTATCATTATTAAGTGAAAATCATCGACCACCTTATTGAAATAATAAAATATGAAAGTGTGATTGAGAATTAATTATAATATCGATGTTTCCCCATTTCATAACCAACAAATTTTAAATATCGCGCCTTGAAAGGGGAAGCGACAATGATAAAGAGTGTCATAGCTGCATTGCCAGATTGCAGAATATTCATCACAATCACCGGTATTAGCTCCCAAGATTTTTACATACTGATATTTCAGATTTGTAAAGTTACAGATTGTTTTTTTGTTATAATTACTTTTGTAATGATTTTTTTGCGTCTACAGGGTTATCCAAATTAAGTGTCCACCATTAGTAACTTTGTTATTAGTGAAAATACAAAGTTGTTTGAATTAGCAAACTAGTAGCATTTTTAACGCTGGTAAAAATGAGAAATAAAAAAAACAATTGAGAGTCGTTATTTTGATTTTTTTCAGTAAAATAACATTTTTTTAAATGGAAACCACTGTATATTATATTTTTTTCTGTTAAAGCATCAAATTTTAAACAAAAAAGTTCATAAAGACTTTTCCGCTAAAGTCAAAAATAAAGTCAAAATAACGATAAATATTTTTAATTATTTGCAGTATTATAATATTAAGACGGCTATGAAAACAACATGGCGTTCGCGATTTGACAGCATTAAGATAAGCGACAAATTGTTAAACTGGACATACTCGCAACTAGAAGGCTTTGGAAAACAATGATAAAATCAAATAATGTCAAACATTAGTGTAAATACTTGTTTATAAGCTTTATTGTGTCATTAATTTAAAGAAAAATGTTCTCCCATGAAGAAAAGTGTGATATGTTAGAATGCTATTTAGTGTGCAGAAAATCCTCCTTGAGAGCAAGAGAATACTACAGTGAATTATATCCCGCTCGCATTCAACCGTATGAACGATATTTTCTGAGACTTTATCGAAAATTTAGGGGCAACGAAAATGTTTTTGCTAAAACAAGGGCAAAAAAAGAATTCATAATAAGCGAGGCCACGGAAATTGCAGTTATTGGATATTTTGAAGCTTATCGTGAGAATTCAATAGCAGATATTCTCAAGGACTCTAATTTTAGTTATGGTACTGTTCAAAGGATTTTAAAAAAATACAAATTTATTCCGTATAAGTACCGACCAGTTCAAACGCTTTTGGCAGGGGATCCAGAGAGAAGACTTGTTTTTTGCCATTGGTATCTTAGCTTCTGTCGCCAAAATGTAAATAACTTTCGTTACCTTTTATGGACAGATGAATTAAATTTTTCAAATTCTGGAATGTTTAATAGAAAAAAACACCATTATTGGTCAAGAGAAAATCTTTTGTTAGTACATCCAAGAAGCCCACAAGTCCGTTTCAGTTTCAACGTTTGGTGCGGTATAATTGGTTCAAAAATTGTTGGCCCGTTCTTTTATGAGGGAACCCTAACTGGTGAAAGATATGTGGAATTTATGTCAGAAATTCTGACTAATTTCTTAGACGAATTGGATCTTATAAGTAGACATCATCTGCATTTTCAGCAAGATGGCGCACCTGCCCACAACTCCAGAGGTACTTATCATTTTCTAAGTACTACTTTTAATGATCAGTGGATAGGAACAAATGGCCCAATACAGTGGCCTCCCAGATCACCAGATCTAAACCCACTTGATTACTTCTTGTGGGGTTACTTAAAGAACCAAATTTACAAGCGAAGGTACGATAACCTTGACGCGTTAAAGACTGCAGTTAGGGAAAAGATAACCCAGATAGATGGTAGGACCATACTTAAGACAGTTCGAGCAGTTGAAAAACGTGCCCAAAAATGTATTGAAGAACAAGGTGGTGTTTTCGAGCATCTTCTTTAAAAAAAATTGTTATTGTATTTTGTAAGATTATAAGTTGATGTTGAAAATAAAGTTTGTCGATACAATTTAATTGTTTCAGATTGGAGGCCATAACTTCAACAATTTGTAACCTAGGAGAAAAGTTATTGTAAGCTTTTTTGTTTAAAATTTGATGCTTTAACAGAAAAAAATATAATATACAGGGGTTTCCATTTAAAAAAATGTTATTTTACTGAAAAAAATCAAAATAACGACTCTCAATTGTTTTTTTTTATTTCTCATTTTTACCAGCGTTAAAAATGCTACTAGTTTGCTTATTCAAACAACTTTGTATTTTCACTAATAACAAAGTTACTAATGGTGGACATTTAATTTGGATAACCCTGTATATGCTTTTGGCTGAAGCTGATCTTTGTATGTCGTTCCGTCTTCCTTTGATCTATCCTTTTTTTCATACCTATACTATTAACAATTTCCTAGAGTTCATAAATAGTTGTTTTCTGATTGAGTCTAGTACATTTCCTGTGGAATTTTATATACATTAAGCTTCTCCAACTCGATAACATTTGGGACATTGAACAAGCAGCATTAGGCAACCATGTTTTTGAACAGACATCCGATCCAATCAAAGCCATTCCCACGCTCCCCATCCCGAACCTCATGTTTTTTCTTACGTCGCGTTCTCCAACCTGCATCAATTTTGCATGTTGCGAAATGTGCACGTATCTTTATCTTCCTGTAAATTATAAAGTTTAAGTGCGTTGACAAAAGCCATACTGTGTTCCTGCTCATCGATTAATCAAGAACAGCGTCGTGACAGTATCTATGGCGATATTGCCATAGTGCATGAAAAGTGGCTGACGCCGAGAAAGAAACGGGTGTGGTGGCCACCACCCACCATATAAGCAGCAAGTACGAACAAGGAGCAAGTACCGTATAAGCAGTACGATATCCAAAGAGTGTTTTTTGAGGACGGTAGGTATATTCTTCAAACTTTACCTATAATTAAGGGCCGAATCGCTATCGTCAGTCGTCTCAACAATTATTGTAGGACGCCTTTATGGCCTCCTTGATTTTCACAGTTTTCTACTGTTCCGGTTTACCGCTCGATTTTGAGGTTATGTTACAAATATCTATTCGCACCAAAATGTTCATACTTTTGATTTATATCTATTTTATGAGCTTGAAACTTTCTATGATTCAAGAAGAAAACATAACTTCACAACCGCAGTGTTTTGAAGAGGAGAAAATACTATGAAAATCAAGGAAGCCATAAAGGCATCCTTCAATTGTAAGAATGACTGACAATACGGCCCTGAAATGTATTTAATTACTTTAAGTCTCTCTATGACAGTCATCAAGGAACAGCATCAATGCAATGTGAATATTTTTCAAATAATGCAGCTGCTAATTAAACTACAAAAATTCATTACACTCAAGACCTTTTTATTACAAAGTGGGACTTTATGTTTGTAGAACAATGAGACTGTTCAGCGAAAGTCAAGCTGTACAGCATTTTTATACTGAATAGCAGAAGCCTTCGGATTTGATACATGTCATTGGAACTTTAGTTGGTTATATGACCAAATTAGGAGAATATTATTTTATTTTTCAGATCTTTTCGAAGTTAGGGGGACGTGATATTACCAATAGAACAAATATAATTTTGAGGCACCTAATATCTAATAATTTGGCAGTTAGCTACAATTATTTGGGAACTAGACAAGAGAAGAAGACATTCAAACCTTCATTTCTCAACAGGGTTGTAATAGATCTTTATAGGTTCCCAAACAGTTTCAGACCTATTATTGCTTACAAATTTTGTTTTTTGTATCTGATGTTACATACAAGACTTGGTAGACAACTATATTCAAAAATTCTTTTTTATGTGACAGCTTTATATATAGGTAAACAAGTAAAAAAATATTTACGAATAAAAAAAATAAAACATAGAAAGTTCTATCAGACAATTTATTCTGCATTTAAGCTGTCATATTTTATTTTTCCCCAGTCGAATTATATTGATTTTAAGTTATGGTTGGATTGTAATCTTATTTTGTATGCAGTTGATTATATCACATCTATATATTCAAATTTTATTTTAAGGGGCTGTTCTTTCTGGCACCAATGCTACCAAAAAAGATGTGTGAAGAAGATGCCATTAAAACTTGGTTAAAGATTGCACCAAAAAGATATAAAACAAAATATTCATATATCTTTTTTATCCTCAGCAGTAGTAGAATGTAATATTGCGTTAACTAAAAACAATATTCAACTTTGATTTTCTACTCACATTCTTTTTTTTTGTGAGACAGTGTCACAAAGTGAAAGGAACTATAAGAAAGTTATTAATGAGCATCACTCATTAGATATGTTTGAAAGGAAATTCAACAAATACTTAACGAAATAAATGCCCCTCAGGTTGTGGCTTCATCTCAACAACAGTGTTGTAGGGTCAGGTAATTCAAATTTTGAAGTAAGTGAGGATATTTTGAGAAATGTGAGACATTTAGAGCAAGATTTTGACAATAGTGGTAATATTGAACAAGATCTATGCATCACCTATATGCGAGGTAGATTCTTCACAACTACGCGGCTCTAAGGACCCAAGAATACATCAATGCTTAATTTGATGCTCACAAAACGATTGTTTCATTCACTAAGATCATATTTAAGTCGAAAGCTAATATGCAATGAAATGTATTAAAACATATCTGCAACAGTTGTATCTATTTTCTTATTTATATATGTATATAAGTTAATATATAATCTTCTCAGTATTCATTTACTTTTAGATCTCACATAAAATGTATGAGCAGATATAAGGTTTGTATTTAAAGCAATCGGCGAAATGTTGTTAACAAGACATATTTAGAACTAAAATGCTTACAACTTTGGACAAAAAATTGTAATAGAGAGAAAAGAAGTTGTAATGATTATTCAAGTAGTTATTTCAAATAAAATAACTATAGTATTAATCCTTCATTTTGCGCCCTTACAATTCTAACCACATAGTTTAAATACTGTATATTTTAAACATTTCTTCCACCTCAGTGGCCTTCTTTAGTACAATCACATTTGAAGGGTTGAGTGGATGGAGGTGGTAAGTAACATTTGGGTTAAAATGAGATCAGTATATTTGGTGAAGGCTATATGTGAAATTCTGTCTGGAAAACTGGTTGTTAACACTAACAGTTATTGTCCACAGTAGAACCAACCTGTTTTCTGGACAGAGTACTACTTCTAGGCTTCGCCAAATATATTGAACTCATTTTTGATCCAAATGTTATTTACCACCTTCATACAGTTAATCATCACGTGATTAATTAGTGATGAATTACTCTTTGATTTTGTGCCCCAAATCCGGCAGTTTTGTCTATGTATGAAGCCAACGAGATGAAAATGGGCCTCATCGCTAAAAATGATTTTGTCTACAAAATCACCATTCACATATTGTTGGCCAAGGATCCAATTGCTAAACTCTCTTTGCTGTGCATCGTCCGCTGGCATAAGCTGTTGAGTCAATTTGGACTTTGTAGTCATGGAGATGTAAATCTTTCGTTAGAATACGCTGGAGGGTGGCTGTTTTAATGTCCAATTCTTGAGCGCGATGACGAGTCGACGTCCCTGGACTCTTGGCTACATTTTTGCGAAGTGCTCTGACATTTTCTTCTGAACGACCGCTGCGAGTTCGTCACGTATGTTTCACATCATTAACAGAACCAGTACTTTCAAATGTTTGAATTATTCTTTTCACAGTGGATGGGGTAGCAAAATTATTCCGGCCGAATATTAGCTGCACTTTTCGAATCGTGGCAATTAAACTTTCACCACTTTGGTAATAATTTTTAACAATTAGGATACGCTGTTCTATTGTGTAACGTTTCATTTTCATGAACTCCCGCCTGTCTACTACCGATCTGTCATGTCACAATCATCATGACTTTATGATTGCCAAAATGGCGCTAAATTCAAATATTGCGTTCTTACTGATATACCCATTTATAATCTACTACTGCCGGAAGTTAACTCGCGAGCGTGACTAAAACTAATCAACTTCAAACTTGGATATCTTTGACGATCCATTTATTCGTTGGATAGCATTTTATTTCAAGCATTAAGCCTTGAAGTGTCTCATAACTGGCGAATAGCATCACCATAACAAAAGAGAAGATACTAGTAGATACTTGAAGCGATCCTCAGGTCCGGATATTAAGAAAGTTCTCAACGGTTCTTCAGAAGATCGCATTTCCAGGTAGCGTTACATATAAGACCGTCGTCATAAATGAATAAAATGTAATTTCCTTCGGGTTATTCACTAGACCAGACAGCCTCTAGAGGGGATGGCGATGGCGGCATTGACACACTTTTCTACTTTTAGAAGCTAATGCTCGTGCCTGTACAGCGTGCTCAATTAGATTTCTTAAGGATATGTTCTTGAGAATCACTGTCCGGATAAAATTAACGTCTGCTTCCAGTTAGACATACAGATTTCGACCACCTCTCCACGTTACTGCATTAGGGCAGTAATATGTCAGGACACCTTTGTTTTTCTTATGCATGTGGGGGGGCAAGAGAAAATGTGAGCCGCGATGAAGTCGGTCAAATGTGATTGCAGTAACATGTTCATGCCGTTCCAATCTGATCAAAATTATATATTGCAGAATGGTTTTAAATCAACCGTTTTCGAGTTACAAGGTGTTGAACCTAATAAATTCGAAAAAATGTGAGCTTACGGCAGACACCATAAAGGCATTGAATTGGTATAAATGACTGTTCCAGTAAAATATTAGCCAATTTGATAGGAATTTACTTTTGATGGGCATTGTAATGATTTGATAGTTTTGATTTTATCAAAAGATGTGTAAAAATGTGTCAGCAAATCGGCAGTAGACTGGTCAAATAGGACCCATCAAGTTCTTAATATTAAATCATAAAATCACACATGTATCTGTCGTAAGCTGATATCTTTTACATACAACGCCTACTAGTGAAATATGGCATGAATATCACGTAAAAAACATGTCACTCATTTTCGTCGACCTGTCTGTCTGTCCGTCTGACGGTCTGTCGGTTTGCCGGTCTGTCGGTCTGTCCTCTAATCTTATAGTCGCATATAACTTGAGAAGTATCACTCGAATTTCGATGAAATTTTTACACAATGTTTTTCGAAGCAGTCAAAGAAGACAAAGGAAAATTCAGACCTACCATAAAGTGGACCAGAAAGTTCTTTCGATGGGATGTAAAGTTTAAGTAAGTGGGCTGATGGATTTTCTTTGGCTAAACTAGCAACAATTTTTACTTTAGTTTTCTCATCTACATCGTCGTCAAACAGAGATAATCATCTGTGAAATACCATAAATGTTGGCAACACTTTTATAAAGCTTCTTTTGAAATGGGTTTGTTAATTTTTTCGTAAGCCTTCATTGCCTTTAAAAAGCATACACTCCGGTTATAGGTGCTTTTACCGCTAAAGTGCATTGCAACGACGGTTTGACGTATGAGTATGTTGTCACGATGAACAGGCAGATATCTAACAGAGCTGCATTATTCTTATTAGAATGTTTGAGCTAGGAACTAACGCTATTTTTAATGAATAGATTGCAATCGCCATCCAACGAGCTTGATGCATGGCACCTGGCGATCTCTGAAATATTCAGGCATGACAGCTTTTCAGTATATTCTCGGGAACTACACTTTTTCAGCTCTCGCAAAACTTTTTAAACATTGGAATGTCAAGGTCTGTAGTCGCGTGACCGATCTTTGATTCAAAACGCCTTTTAACACCAATTCGTAGACATGATGGCGGCAAGGAAAAATAAACGTTTCTTTATTAAGTCTCCATTAGAGAAGCACGCATGCACCATTAATGCGACCAGTATTTGAAACAGTAGCATCACAGTAGAGAATTTGATGTTTATCTTCAAGATTCCAGTTAATAATAAGTTGCTCTTTATTTTTAAGTTATAACAATCGGTAGACGTTCTTCCTTAGACTTGTGTGCACTTAAAGGTGGCAACAATTTGCTATCCCAGTGGACAGTTACACTATCCGGTACCTCGCTCTAGAAATCAAGATTTATAGCTTCTGCGCGCTCGTTGCGCTTTTCGGTGCGCTTACAGGAAACTCGTCAGTGTTATGTCCAAGTGCCTCGATAATAAAAACAGCATTTCTCATACTTAACTAACACCTATCTAATGCAAGTTTTGGAGTTGAGACCCAGAGAGACTTCCACTGAAGAGTCAAGCATAATAGTGAAAAGTAAACGCAATAGATGTGTGACTACAGTTGAGAGACGGTTTCTTGAAGCTGGACTTAAGGGATGCATAGCAGTATCGAAACCACACCTGAGAGTTACTAACAAAAAAAGACAGAATTAAGCCAATAATGTCCTCTGGAGCGATGAATCGAAATTTGAAGTTTTTGGTTCCAGGTGAAGGTTATTTATCCGCCGTCGGCATAACGAGATAGATTAGAATCAAGCACCGTCACTTCAGTCAAGCACGGTGGAGACTCTATAATGATTCGGGGGTGTTTTGGTTTTTCCGCTCTTGGGATGTTGTGAGCATACAGGGAATATTGAATAAAGAAGGTTACAAAGCCATACTACAAAATCATGTTGTGTGTTGTGGGACCGGTTTTATTGGTTCGGGGTTTTTCAGAATGATAATGACCCAAAACACATAACCAAGCTCTGAAAACAATTTTTGGAAGCAAAAGAAGAACAAAATATTTTGAAAGTCATGCAATGGCCTCCCCAGTCCCCGGATTTGAATCCGATAGAGTTGCTGTTTGATGAACTGGACAGACAAGTACGGAGATATTGTCCGACATCTCAAGAATACTTATGGATAATATTACTAGACGAATAGACCTCCCCCCCCCACCCACTTTAGAAAAGTCAGTTGCGCGCTTACCAATCATTTGTCAGGCTGTAATTAAAAGTAACGGAGGACATATTGATGAGTCAAAAATATGATTATTGTGATTATAAATAGTTGTATGTTGTTAAGAATTAAGAAAATAAATGTTTCATACAGATGCTGTAATATTTTCTTTAATAACTTCCATCAGTTTCCTTGTTTTCTGGGTGTTCAAATACTTTTGAGCGGTAGTGTATATGCGTTGACATTGTGGGATAAAAAGGAGAACCCGTCAATTACGACCTTGCGGCCAGAGAGCAAATCAGCCTCCCAATCATATGATGAAAGCTTGCATAAGCGAGCAGCATGCCACAGCTGATAAAACATTTTTGTAATACCGAGAGCAACGACATGAGCCTCAAGATTGGATGAGTTCACTCTACAATTGCGTGACGTAAGGTAGGAGGTCCCCTGTAGATTACTGGTGCCGGAAACCATACTACCTGTCTCTAATCAAGCCGTGATGTTCGAGGTACTCCAGAAGCTTGCGATTTATGCACGTCTCCATCACCTTGTTATGACAGAAAGCAGAGCTACAGGCCTGTAGGGTAAGGGTCGGTCTCAGATCCTCTTTGGGATGGGTTGGACATGACCAATTTTCTAGTTTTCTGGAAAGGTGCCGGATTTGTATGATATCTAGTTACAGTATC